TCATTTTCTGTAACATTTGAACCAATTCGTCAAATCTTCCCATAGTTCCTTCAACACTATTTCCCTCTTGATTTGATTCTGTCATTTTGATGGGAATGAAGGGAAATCTAAAGTTATTTTAATTTGCATTTCCATCATTAGTGATTTGGAGTGCTTTCATATAGTCACTTATGATTTGAAGGGTTTTTTCTGAAAATTCTTTATTCATATATTTAACTTTTCTGTTAGAAAATTAGAGGCAGCTAGGTGGCTGGGCCTGAAGTCAGAAAGACCTGAATTCAAACCCAGCCTCAGACACTTACTAGCTGTGTGATCCTAAGCAAGTCACTTACTTACCTCTATTTGCCTTAAGATCCACCAGAGAAGGAAATAAAAAACCACTCCAGTATCTTTGCCAAGAAAACTCAATGGGACGTATTGGTGTGCTATGTTCCATGGGATCATGAAGAGTCAGATACAATTGCATGATTGAACTACAACAAATTAGAGAATTATCCTTGGTTTTCTCTATTTGTGTTAATTGCCTATTTAATTTGGATATCAGATTTTTATCAAATGGATGATATTTGTAGAATACTTTGTAAACTTTAAAGTTTTCTATATGTACAAACCATTATTATTATATTCAATACAAAGATTTTCTCAACTCCCTAGTTTTGACCCTAATTCTAGCTGCATTAGTTGTGCTTGTATAAAATCTATTTAATTTTAATTAAATTAAAATCAAAATTGTCCATTTTGTTTCTGTGACCTCCTCTATATCTTGTTTGGTTGATAGTTCTTACTCTTGACATAATTGTTAATGGCACTTACTTTAATTCTCTATTTTTGTTAATGATATGAATTTTTATTTTTAGATTGAATATTTAGCCAGAGTTTATTGTGGTCCTGGTGTAACTTTCTGTCCAACCATTTTCCAGTTTTTTTAGTATTTCTTGTCCAATAGGGAGTCATCCTTCCAGAAGATTATGTTCTTAAATCTATCCAATATTGATTATGATTGCTGCTGAGTATTGCTTAACTAAACTGTTCCATTCATCTATTTTTCAAACAATAGGGCCAGTTTTTTTATTTTAACAATGAGATATGACATCATAATAATTTTTAAAAGCTCAAAAAACACTGCATGTATGTGTCTTTACTATTTTCTATAGGGAAATAACTGTTACAGTTCTGAATCCCAACATAATGGAATTAACCTCTTAGAAAAGACATTTTACTCATAAAGCTAAAGATGTTTCAGCACTGTATGATGGGAAAAGCACTAGATTTAAAGTCAAAGGCTGGGGGCACCTAGGTGGTGCAGTGGATAGAGCACTGACCCTGAAGTCAGAAGGACCTGAGTTCAAATCCAGCCTCAAACACATAACACTCACTAGCTGTGTGACCCTGGGCAAGTCACTTAACTCCAATTGCTTAAAAAATAAATAAATAAATATATATATATATATATATATATATATATATATATATATATATATATATATAGTCAAAGGCTGTAAGTATTGTGGCCTTTAGCCTCAGTTTCTTTATTTGTAAGAAGAGGATTATAACACTAATGCTAAGTGTTGCTCTGCAGATTAAATAAAATATTGCATGAATAACATTTCTGTTAAGATTTTTCAAGGTACATTGTGTTGGGTATATTATAATAGAGGACCAGAAAAGAGCTGTGATTTCAAATAGTTGGTATAGTTGATCCCTGCCCTCTTCCCACATACTGTAATAGGTGAGAGACTCACAAAGAAAACTATGGAAACTCCTTGGTTGAAGCCAAGAATTATTTGAAGTATTATGGAACAAAAGGCAACCTTTTCAACAATCCATCACAGTTGAGTCACTTAAATATGTGTGGATTTCTGGACAAAAGACAGCAGCTATAACTTTGAACAGATGCTAACCATCCATTTTTTAAAAACTAAAAGCCCACTTAGGAAAATGAATTGTGTACTTCTCCTTTTTACAAAATGCTTAGATAACAAAACTGAAAATAGCTTTGTGATTATTGGGCAGGCCAGGAGAGGGGAAAAAAGCGCTGACATACTCCTTGGATAGTAGACAATCCACAAAGTAGAAAAGGATCTTTCTTCCAAATCCTAACATTGTCACAGTGTTCTCCTATCTAAAAGCCATCTTTAAAAGTGAATCATTCATATATGGCAAACTCAATTTCCATTTGACCTTTCACCTTTATTGGGATGATCAAGGTGGGAAACAATTAGTACTTATATATCCCACATATGTGGTACTTTAATTTACTTAATTTTTAATTCTAAAAATTATTTAATTTTCTCTTGGTTCTCATAAAAATCCTGAGAAGTAGGATTGTTATCCCTCCTTTAATGACAAGGAAACTGATGCTCCAGTCCAACTTTCTTTCCACCACATAGAGAAGGAATGCACCAAGCCAAAGTCCTTCTCTCCCCTTTCCCCTCCACCCAATAAGCAGGATTCATTGTTTTCATTGTTTAAAAAGGAAAGTATTGACACAGTGGTTCTTTTTTGAGTTCCCAAATATAAACATCAAGTGACTAAGAAAATCTGAAGACTTCTCAAAGCTGTTTGGCAGTCTAAGGGGCTGGGGACCTTGATCATTATCTGCCCAGAACAGAGCACTGAGAAACAGCATAGAGAGGTGATTCCCTTGTGATTTTGGTGCTGACTCAGAGCTGAAGTAGCAGAATAGAGATTACATCCTGACAAAGACTAATTCACAGAGGCAGGAAAAGAAGGTTTTGAGGTGACCTAGCAAAAACTTTATTTTTAAATATGGACTCAGAGATTAAATTTAATAAAAACTAAAAATCCCAGGATGTTAGAACTTCTCCAAAAGAAATATCCTCTCCTGATTCTGTTTCTCACCATCTGGAATAGTACCTCCAAACTGTGCTAGAGAACCATAAAACATCTACCTGCATCCCATTCATCCATCTCAGTCCCTAGGGGAGTTAATGCACTCATTTTTAGAATGACCACCCTAATACAAGTCATTCCCCAATTGATAAAATGGTCAAAGGATATGAACAGGTAGTTTTCAGATAAAGAAATCAAAGCTATCTATAGGCATATGAAAAAATGCTCTAAGGCAGTATTGATCAGAGAAATGCAGATTAAAACAACTCTGAGGTACCACTTCACACTTATAACATTGGCTAATATGACAAAAAAGGAAAACGATAAATGTTGGAGAAGATGTGGGAAAATTGAAACACTAATGCATTGTTGGTGGAGTTGTAAAATGATCCAACCATTGTGGAGAGCAATTTGGAGCTATGCCCAAAGGACTATAAAAATATGCATATCCTTTGACCCAGCAACAGCACTTCTAGGGCTGTATCCCAAAGAGATCATAAAAATGGGGAAAGGACCCACATGTAGAAAAATATTTACAGCAGCTCTTTTTGTGATGGTGAAGAATCAGAAATTGAGGGGATGCCTATCAATTGCAGAATGCCTGAACAAGTTGTGGTATATAAATGTAATGGAATACTATTGTGCTATAAGAAATGATGAGTAGGCAGACTTCAGAAAAACCTGGAAAGACTTGTATGGACTGATGCCGAGTGAAGTGAGCAGAACCAGGAGAACGTTGTATGATGACTAATTTTGATAGACTTAGCCCTTCTCAGTAATGCAAGGATCTAAGACACCTCCAAAAGTCTCATGATGGAAAATGCTATCCACAGCCAAAGAAAGAACTATGTAGTTTGAATGTAGATTGAAGCATACTATTTGCTCTTTTTTTTCTTCTGTTTTGTTTTGTTTCCTCTTTCTTGTGGTTTCTCCTATTGGTTCTAATTCTTCCTTACAATATGACTAATGTGAAATTATGTTTAATAGAAATGTATATGTAAAGCCTATATCAGATTGTGTGCTGTCTTGGGGAAGGAGGGGGATAAAAATTTAAAACTCAAAAGCTTATGGAAGTGATTGTTGATAACTCAAAACAAATTAATTAAAAAAAGAAAAATGATAAATGTTGGAGAGGATGTGGGAAAATTGGGACACTAATCACTGTTGGTGGAGTTTGAACTGATCTAATCATTCTGGGGAGCAATTTGGAACTATGTTCAAAGGACAATCAAAGTGTGCATACCCTTTGATACAGCAATATTCCTAAGTCTGTATCCCAAAGAGATCATTTAAAAAGGTAAAAGGATCTACATGTACAAAAAAATATTTATAGCAGCTCTTTTTGTGGTGGCAAAGAATTGGAAATTGAGGGGATGCCTATCAATTGTGGAATGCCTGAACAAGTTGTGGTATATGAATGTAACGAAATAGTATTGTACTATAAGACATGATGAGCAGGAGGATTTCAGAAAAACCAGGAAAGACTCACATGAAATGATGTCAAGTGAAATGAGCAGAACCAGAACATTGTACACAATAAAAGCAACATTGTGTGATAATCAACTATAAATGACTCAGCTCTTCTCAGCAAATACAATGATCCAACACAATTCCAAAGGACTCATGATGGAAAGTGCTATCCACATACAGAGAAAGAACTATGGAGTCTGAATACAGATCGAAACATACCGTTTTCATTTTCTTTATTTTTTTGGTTTTTCCTTTTGGTCTGTTTCTTCTTTTACAACATGACTAACATGGAAATATGTTTTATATGATTGCGCATACATAATCTATATCAAATTGCTTATTCTTTCAGGGAAGGGGAAGGAAAGGGAGGGAGGGAGAAAAATTTGGAACTCAAAATTTTTTTTTAAAAACTGAATGTTTAAAATTGTTTTTACACGTAATTGAAAACAATAAAATGCTATTTAAAAAAAAAAACTACCACCCTGCCTCCAGGACCTAGATCAAAGAATGCTTCACAACCCATGTATCATAAACCTCAGCCATCTTGCTATCAACCCTGCTACCAGACCACACACACACACACACACACACACACACACTGGGCAGAGTTATCACAGAAATACCACTTTTGTTCTTGGAAAGAGTGTTTCATTTGGCTACCCTAAGAATCAACTCACCACCAACGAAATTTCTGAGACACTCTTTCCCTGGTCATTGTCACTCCCTTATTGTTGGGGATCTGTAAGGATGTTGAGGGCCACAGGCTGTTCATGAGATCTCACTGATGGGCAGAGGCCCTTCTAGGGTGACTGATCTACGAGCAAAGGTCGTCTGGTTCGGTGCTCCATTCTATGAATCTTTAACAATCTTTAACTCTCCTAGTTATTGTATGGTCATTAGCAGTCTAATCTGGGATTGGAGTCAGATAAGTGCACAGGACATGCATGCACTGTCCTTGAGCACAGCATGGGCTATATGTCATTGTAACTTGAGAAAGAGTTCCTGTTATTTTACTATATAAGTAAGTGCTTTGCTAAAAATAAATGGAGTTGCTTCCATCTTGTCTCCTGCCTCATCAATGCGCATTCGAGATAGAAGGTTAAGCTGGTCTTATCCCTTCAAAATTAGTATAGGATCCTTGCTCTAGTGGTGAGCTGAGTAAGCTGTGCACAGCAATCTGGCACCCAACATGGGGCCCCCTGTTGTAGTCTGAAGACTGAAGGGCAGGCAGCGGAGGAAGCTGAGAAAACAACCCACAATCCACAACATAAGACCCCCTTTAGCCTGAAAAGTGAAGGGCCAAGCCGGAGAATAGGGGGAGAAATCACCCTATGGTCAGGACACTGAGGTCTTTGGGAAGCCAGGCAGCCTCCTTGTGAGAGGTCTCCTAATCGTATCCCGTGGCACAAAACTACGAAGAGGTAAGATAAAGTTTTATCATGAGGCAAAATCTAGGTAAACTCTCAGATAAGGAATAGAATGTTAGAGTAATATATAAAGTGATTGAGGAACAGGGGTGCTCGGTAACTCCTAAGAAAATAAGAGAGTTTCTAGATATTATTGATATAAAATCTCCATGGCACCCCAGAGAAGGGAACTTAGATTTAGAACAATGGAAAATAGTGGAAGAACAATTGACAGAATTTTATAACACCAAAGGCTCAAAATCAGTTCCTCTGGGTACTTTCACTATCGATAATCTTATAAAAATGGGCTTGTAGAAGTTGTGAGAACAAAGGAAGCTCCTGCCATGTGCCATGAGGAATTTCAAAAATCCCACCATAAGGAATTTCAAAAATCCCCAAGGGAAAGTAGAAAAGAAACGTATAGTCACAGCACTATATTGTGGACATTGTGGAGCATTACAAAGTGAAAAAGTTTCCTTTTATAAAAACCAAAACCTTAAGAAAGATTTTGCCTGGTTTTAGAATACCATGAAAAGAAAAGATAAAATAAAATAAAAATAGTATTATTTCATTTGTGTAGGGAATTTCTGACAAGTTTCTTGCTTTTGGATTCTCCCCGTCATTTTGTTCTATGTTTGTCTGTATCTGTGTGAATGATGGTCTGTGATTAATGTCTGTGATCTGTTTAATCTTTTACTGCCAGGCAGTCAAGGGCTGCAACTGGATTTTGAAATGCTGTTAGTGACTTTCTCCCCTTCCCCCTCCCTAATACCAGCCGCATTTCCCGGGAGCGGGTGGATGGGGGAGAGAATGGGAGAAAAAGTACTTCATTATTTAGGTTATATAATTTGATAAAAGGCAAGAAAGTTTAAACATACAGGAATAAGAAAAGTATGGGTGGAAAGAATAGTATAATCGGTTTGCATGAATAGCAGAAATAGATGATTTGAGAGTAAAAGATTTGGAAATTTTTGGAGAAAAAATTCTCTCTTTTTTGTATTCTAAAGCTCTGGCCAAAGCTTTGGGTGTAAGGTTGAAAGATTATGTTGAAGAATATTCTCTTCCTTTCTCTTGAATTCCAACCCTGGCCAGGTTGGGGTGGGGGAGAAAAGAAGGAGAAGGAGTTTTCCTCTTCAAATCAAAAAGAAAAGTTTTTAAGTATTGGTTCGTTCACATTAGCAATATGCATGTTTCAAGTTTTAAAAATCTAGTCTCATTACAAATTGGTACACTTTTATGTGTTATATCAAGCAATTTTTAATAATTTTGATGTTATTAAAATGTGAACTAAAAGAAACTGAAAGGTAGTGAGATAACTGTGTAAATCCAGCTAAATTATTTTATCAAGTCCAGTTAATCTTGTTCTATGATGTTTTATAACTATCATTTAGAAAATCAGGTATTTCTATCTTTACCTATGATTAAAAAACAGCTTAGAGCTAAAATAATTTAACTATCACTCATGAAAATTACCAAAATTGTTAACTAAGTTATTTGAAGTTACTGTTTTAAAGCTAAGACCTAGAATTCTTAATTACTTCTGAGTGAAAAGGAGGGACAAGGCAATTCCCTTAACTTTGTAAGCTTGCCAAAAGCTCCTACCAACTGTGTCAAGGTCGTCTGCTCTGAGAGAAGAATTTGTTTATGTTATTGAGTTCCTAAACAATTCATTTAGCTTACTGAGAAACTGCAACTTTATATAAATGATTTCTAATAATTGGCTTTTTCACCAAGACAAGTTTAAATGTGGGAAAGAAAGGATGTTAAGTAAAATTTCTTATATATGTGAGTCCTAGTAAATCTTTATTGATTATTGCACTTCTATGAAAATAATTAACTGTATCTGGCTTTAAGCCATAATCAGTGAAACTTACTGCTTGAGGTAAAAGACTCTTAGAACTATAATTAACTTTGTTTTGAGCTTGAATTTGGGTATGGTTGTCTCATTAAATCAGTATTTCCCATTTTCCCTATTATGATCCTTTAAGGAGGAATGTTTCTTACCATGTGCGAAATTTTGTTCATCACACTATTAAACTTGTTAGTCAGAAATATTCCCAGACAAAAATAATTTATTGTATGGATGATAAACTTTGCAGTTGTCCTACTACTACCAAACTTTCCTTATTAATGCCCAAGTTTTAACAAGCTTTTCAGTCAACAAGCCTTTCAGTCTCATAGATTTATAATTACCCCTGAAAGGGTACAGAGGGTGTCACCCTTTGCTTACTTTGGGTGTATTGTTCTGCAGTCTGCAGGTATACCACCAAAATGTTACAAATTAATCAAGATTCCTTGATAATTTTTAATAAGTTTCATATGACTTTTTATGGATATTAATTACTTTTAGCTTGCCTAATAAATCACCACTAATCAATTATTTTAAGATGAAGTTAAACTACTAGGATAATGGATAGCTAAAACTCAATTCATTTCCCCTTAATTTGTGGTGCGATATTTTACATTTACTGAGAGCTGTTATTTTCTCCGCCCACTGTTTGTGCTTTTTCTATCCATAAAACTGACAAAATACAAAATGAAATCCAATGAACTTGTTTGGGTTCCTTAAAATTCACCTGTTTTTATTATTGCAAAGAAGTCAGGAAAATTAACGATGCTTTATGACTTCCTAGCCTTTGATAGTTATTGATTTAAAAGATTGCTTTTTTACTATTCCATTACAAAAAGCTAAAAATGATACATTACATGGATGACATTTTATGTGCTCATCCCAATCCTGAAGTGTTGGAAGAAATCTTGTTAAAAATACAAAATTTGTTGCAAAGTCATGGGCTTCAAATAGCCCCAGAAAAAATTCAAAAACATCCTCCATATCAATATTTAGGTCACCAGATACTTCAAGAAAAAATAGTTCTACATCCTCCAAAAATAGACCTACAAAAGTTGAAAACACTTAATGATTTTCAGAAACTTATAGGAGATATACAGTGGCTTTGGTCACAGATAGGCATTCCAAATTATGAATTGATACCTTTATATGATTGCCTTAGAGGTGATCCTCAATTAGATTCACCCTGAATACTGACCCCTGAGGTGAAACACACATTGTTGTATATTCAGGAACAAGTAGTTGGAGCACACACAAACAGGATTGATAGGCATGAAAGTGTGGAGGCTTCTATATTTAACACCCCAAATTCTCCAACAGCAGTGATACATCAGAAACAAAGGCTTTTAGAATGGGTATATTTACCATCTCAGCCAAAAAATACTTTAAGTAATTATATGGCCTTGATAGAGGACTTAATACATAAAATTGACAACAGGTGTTTAACATTATGTGGCACACATCCAGAAGACATACACCTTCCATTTTCTCAACAAATAATTGAAATGGCAATACAAACAATGCCTAACTGGCAAGTGAATATCAATTTGAAAATTGTGTATGGAAAACCCCTTAAATATCACACAGTCTTTGAGAATTGGTCTTGGATACAACCCACACTTATAGCAGGTGAACCCATACACGGGATTAATGTCTTTACTGATGTCACTAAGATGAATAAGGCCTCTATCTGGTGCCCTAAAAGAAAGGAGTTACATGTGATTGAAACACCCTTTATATCCACACAACAGAATGAATTATATGCTGTCTATTGTGCATTTCAAAAATATGAGGAGCCAATGAATATTATCACAGATAGTAAATATGTTGAAGGAATTCTAAAACATCTAGAGACTGCTGTAATAAAAAATACTGGTAATAATATATGTCAGTTGCTTAATGATATACAACTTATGATACAGAATAGGACAGAAAAATTTTATGTTTTGCATGTTCTTCCCACACTCTTGCCCCAGGACCAATTTTTGAAGGTAATGATATTGTTGACAGGTCTTTAACAATGAATGTGGAAATAGCAAGGAACAGTCATAATAAATTACATTTATCTGCTAGGTCTTTAAGAACTTTATATGGCATAACAAAATCACAAGCACATGAAATTGTTAAGCACTGTGCTAATTGTGTGCCTTTTCAACCCCCTTTCCATGTTGATGTCCATAACCCCAAGGGACTTACACCTAACACCTTATGGCAAATGGATGTTACTCATTATTCTCCTTTTGGAAGACAAAAATATGTTCATGTTTCTATTGATACTTATTCAGGCTTTATTTTTGCTACTGCTCAAGCGGTGAGGCTATTCGCAATGTTGTTAATCATTTGCTTCATTGTTTTTCCGTCGCTGGCCCACCCTAATGCTTAAAGACTCATAATGGTCCTGCATATATATTGCAAGGTTTTAAAAAGTTTTGTACTGAGTTCTCTATTAGTCACACTACTGGCCTTCCCTATAATCCTAGTGGTCAGGCCATAGTTGAAATGCCAATCGT